GGCGAAGTTGGAAATCAGCCCGTCAAGAATTCTGTCGCCGTTGGGGTACTCGAGGCCTGCCGCCGCTTGATGCGCGCACCTCGACAGGTACTGGAAGAAGGCGAGGAAAAAAAGAAAACGGCAATAATAAGTTTATTTTCAGGGTGACAGGTAAAGCGAGTAAATGATTGGAAGGATAGGACAGAATTGCGATAAGGGATTTTTTTTCAGCTAGAGCCAAGCCCACTCACCCTCTCGGGCATGCCGACCCACATCCACTTGATGCTCCCGCTGTAATCGTGGAACGCACAGAAGTCGCTGCCAAATCCGTCGACATCCACCTCAGCCGAAGTGAGGATGACGTAGACGGCGCTGCTGATTCGCGGCAGCGATCCCGACAGAATTTGGAAGTTGATAAGAGCCAACAGCTCAGCTTTCTTCAGGGGTTTCTGGCCCGAGGCTGATGACGCGGCTAAGATGTTGATCTCCGTGTTCTGTTGAACACAGTTCGTTACAAAATATGAGAATCAGTTGAAGTATAAATAAATGACGGTAAGTATGAGAAATAAAATTACATGTGCAGACGTAGACTATTGTTGATAAAGCACACAAATGCGTGGGAAATTAAATTCGGCAAACCAGAAGGGAGGACGTACGCTGCGGGAGACGGTGGGCGTGACGTAGGTGGCGCCGGCCTTGTAGAGGCGGTTAATGTTCCACCAGTCGCTGACGCTGCCGGGCTTGTTGGCGAGCGTGGTGTCGGAAATGGAATCGACAAACTTCTGCACGGGAGTTTTCTGCGACAACGGCCACGTGCCGTGCCAGATGAGGTAGACCTCAAGGGGTTGGGACATCACCGGGCCGCTCTTGTACGAAATGGCCTTGGGCGCGTAGCTGGGGACTGGCAAGGGGGAGAGGGAGGGGAAGAGGCATCGGAGAGAGGGGGAGAAAAGGGGAATAGAAGAGATATTACGTGGGGGAATTTTGCACGAGATGGGCCTGGGCGCGTGGCTAGGTTCGAAAGCGACACGTCGACGAGCCACAACAGATAGGGGCGGGCGAGGATGCTCGTCGACAAGTTCGAGAGAAAGAAAGTTGGAAAGAAAGAAGGAAACCGAGTAGACTCAAAAGTTACTGCGGGAACGTGAGTCGGAAAGATTAAACCCAGCGGGCAGGCACGAGCCGGGTCGAGGCGGTAGCTTTACTCACTCTTGCCGGTATACGTTCGCATGAACCCTGGATTCCTCCCCGAACCCGCCGACCGCGACCGCACGCCGCCGCCCCTACCGCTTCCGCTCCCGCTACCACTCCCACTGCCACTGCCACTGCCGCTGCCGCTACCGCCGCCGGTGTTTCCGCCGATGGTGATGCGCACGTGAACGCCGGGAGCGTTGGATCCAGTGGTGGAAGCGGTCGTCTTGCCCTTAACTGCAGGACAGGGGAGGCAAGGGGCGCGGGGAACACGCGGGGAGAACAGGGGGAGCACGCGGGGAACACGGGGAGGAAGGAGGTGGGCGGGGGGGAGGAGGAAGAGAACACACACACAAGCCCCAAGAGGAAAAGAAGAAAACGGTTTAGGGAGTTGGAGACAGACAGGCGAACCGAAGACACACGTTACAAAAAAGAAGAAAGAAACTAAGAAAAGATTGACGAGCGGAGCTGCTGCAATTAAGAGAGCAGTTGCACACTGCGGGTGGTTAGAAGCACAGCGTAGAAAATAACTGGTCGCGCGTGCGGTTTAGAGCCAGGGCGCTGCAAGCACACGACCATTGGCTTGTGGACTTTCTCAGCGCGGTACAACTGTTCGAACGCTCTTCGAGCATCTCAAAGCTAGTCGGATGTATCGATGAAACGTCACAAAGAGTTTCAATGCTCTAAGGCGCCACAACCGCACGTCATATGTTCTTATTACCTAACTTCGACCCCGACTCGGCTTGTGGGAGGAGGGTGAAAGTGACGACCAGAGCCACCAGTGAGAGGAGAATCGCAGTCCGCCGGCGACCCATTTTTGCCTTGAGTGTCTACAAATCCGCGCGCAGATTGTTCTAGGTACTCTAGTTGCTGGTTCAACGAAGCTTGCTACTGGCTACTTTGTTTTCGTTCTGTCTAATCTCTTGGTGTGGCTGAACTGGGCTTGAGAAGCTTGACAATTGACGACGAGCTGGGTGGGAGGAGGGAAGGGAATGGCGTTTGGTCGCGCAGGTGAGTGGGTGGCTGGAGGCTGATAGAGAGGTGGAGCCAAACAACGAGGAAACGACCAGGGTTCATATCAGTGAAGCATGTATGTACACCGTGGTGAACTTCAGGTTTCCCAAAGTTGTGTGTGTGGTGTTTTGTTTTTACGAAGTCCACCCCAAAGGTTATGGAAGCGAACCCGTAAAGAGTGTGCGACTTCCCATTCTACACTCGGACCATGGTTAGGAGAAGTCGTGTTTTGGTAAGTGTGATTCACGTCTGTTCTACTTCACTGAGTGGTTACTTACACAGGTCAGGTAGAGGCAGAATTGCCGTAACATTGGGCAGGGAGAGCAATATTCTTGAATTGCATAGGAGCTGCCCCGTTACACTCGTGTGTGTGGTTCTTCTGGCGCAACCATGAATGTGGTCCGCGTCGCGACGTCTCGAAAAAATTGGCAGGTGATGCTCAGAAGGATCTGTGTAATAGGCCGACGCTCTGCAGGTTGTGGCAGGCAGCAGTATTCGAGAATGGCGAAACGATTTTCCTGGTGAGCAATGGAACTCATGGGGATTTGTTGAGGCCAGGTGGGGCGAGTGGGGTCCTGCAGATGGATAACCAGCCAAATTCACAGGTAAATCTGGAGCCGCAGGTAGGTCCATTACCCCTTTGTGTCCATGCCAGTAACGAACTGGTTACGCACTGCTGACAAACGCGACCCGTACCTGATCAGACTGACTTTCTTCGATAACTGTATACTCCCCTCGCAGTTCTATTGCTATGTAAAAAGAACGTGCATCGTCTATAATAATCATGTTCAGCAGCTTGCCCCTGATGACAATGTGTTATAACAAAGCAGTGCCTTTCTTTTAATTATAATTTAAAATTAGCAGATTCTTTTAAAACGTGTATCCTACTTAAGTTTTTGGGGATGCATGTGCTGCGATCAGAAGTTGATCGCCACCAGGATCTACTCAGGAAGGTTCGCACGCAGTAGAATAGTGTTGGTGGGCCCTTGACCTCAATAGCAGAGTGAATGTAAAATGCTTTGAGATGATTAAAACATGCAAATACAGCGATATAAATAAGAGTACAGGGGAATACGAAACGACCTAACTAGCCATGTACTATAAGGGGTACTTTTCCTTATTCAAATACATTCCCAACCGTGCGGCGCGTACAGTTACGAAACTGTTCCCGCCAAAACCATCCTGCCTGCAGCTGTCCGATGCCGTCTGCTCCGACGGTCCAGATGTGCTGTAACTGTCTGACGCTTCGAGTCAATTCCTAACCGTCTGACTCTTCGCGTTCGTTCTCGATACTGCGTGCTTCTCTTGCTGCGGTGAGGAGTGCACAGTAATAATCAAGTATTACTATTCGTAACAGCATGTATGGTATTTTGAAGATCAGATACATAATGAAGCAGCATACATACGGGAATAAGTTTCAGGAATCACAGCAGGAAGTACTAGACCACTTAAAAGTTAATCGAGTTTTTCATGAAGAGCACCAGCACCATGCCAAGTCACACCCCCCTCGAGTCGTTCGATTCTCCACAAAACAGTGCCAAGCGGTTTTCCAGGGCCACAGCGCATAGCACTGTGTTGTGCCACTCAGCCACCGTATGCCCTCTCTCCACACTGCTCACACTGCCCCCTCTCCAGTATGTTTTGTTCCCGTCAGCCAACTCTTTCGATTGACAAGCAATTGGGACAACGACCCGAATGAATCTGCCGCACAAGAAGCTGGGAGTTCACAGCAACCTAGCAGCAAAATTCGAAACTTCCAGAACTCACAACCGAACCCAACTTCGCAGGGTGAGCATTCGCAGCAAATCGGGTTCTCGACAACCAAACCTGCACAACCCCTCGCCCAGCCAATCCAGAGCGAGAGACCTGTCCCTCCCGCAGACAAGAGAGGTCTTCACCCTATCCAAACGCACATAAAATCCCTAAAAACTACTCTAACCCATCTTACATCAACCGCGTGATTGAACTACAGTAATCCTCTTCGGTCACCTCGCCACTATACTACTATTCACAGTTTCTGTCTGGAACAAGGAAACACGTCACGGTCATGGCTTCCGTCGTTCGCCAGTTGTTTGGAATTCCGACATTCAAACGAATGACGCAGCGATGAACCAAGGTTTTCTCCGTTTTCCCTGCTCGCGCCAAGCAGAACTCGTGTCTGTTCAAACATTTGTAACCCTAATTACGTTCTTGTGTTAAGTACTAACGTAGCTTACCAGCAGCGAGAGCTAACTAGAACGTCGAAGAACGTTTCTGTTCCAAGTTTTGTGTACACTGTAGACGGAACTGTAGACAGAGTCTAGACGAGCCGCCATGTCTCACCGACGAATAGCATTGCTACTGTTATTCCTGGCGCTCGCAGCGGCGCCGTTCGCGCAGCGAGTGGAGTCGCGCTTAACACCACGGGAAGCGGCGCGCCTTGAAGGTAGACTAACCGCGACTCCCTTTTCCAAGCTTTGGGTAGAAAGGCTTCGCCGAAACTTCCCACAAGGACAAATAGATTAACTGCGTGAGAAGAATCCCCTAGTCATGATTCCACCGACGCTCCGTTAGAGCAGGCTGCACAGGCTTAGCATGGGAAGGCCTGGCCAAGCGTTTCCCTTTGAGCCGCTTTCTGCCGCCGTTCTCGGAAACCACAGTAATACTGGCAGAAGAGCCTTCTCGTACCTTCTAGAAAGTTCCCGAAGCTTCAAGAACTTCTAGAACCGTAGTTCCCGGTGTCCGCAGAATCAGAAACAGGTTTCCCTCTCTCGTGACAGATTGAAAGCTCGTTCCTTGTCGTCTCTTCTACACTGGTTACGTTGTCACATAGTTACATGGTTCACTATGACCCTTCTCCTTTTTCCCCGTCGTATCCACCTAATCCACCCCCGCCTCTCCCGTGCTCCCTCTCCTCGATGTCACCCGTCGTTCACGTGCAGAGTGATCAAAGTAGTGTTTTGACGCGCCGCAATCCACCTTATTCACCCCCGCCTTTCCCTCGCTCCCTCTCCTCCTTGTCACCCGTCGTTCACGCGCAGAGGGTGAAGCGGCATTGGAGCGACTCGGCGTCTATTTTAGCAGGGAGCACGGTAGGTATTCGCGGTGGTGTACCTTTTATCGAGGCGCCTCGGTAACTTCTTGAGGAGCGAGCCGCTCGCAGAGAGCGTTGCTCCTTTCGCGGTGTAGCTTTTCGCCCTCTTCCGCATCTCCTTGCATCGCGAACGTTGCGGCTGTCCCCCTTTCAGTTATCACAGTTGCTTCTGTCTTGCTTTCGTTCGCTCGTCCTCGTGTCCATCCCTCACTCCCTTCCTCGACATCAGTCCCCTTCGTCGCGCCTGCTTCCGTTCGCTCGCTCTTGCTCCCCCCTGCCTCCCCCGCTCCGCCCCCTCGTTCCTCCCCCGCCGCTCCGCCCCCTCGCTCCTCTCCCACTTCACCCCATGCTCCTCCCTTTTTCTTCCTTCCGCGCTTTCTCTTCCCGCCCTTTCTTCCATCTCCCCTGCCTCCCCTTCCCCCTTTTTTCCCCCTCCCCCCTTCTCCCTTTCGCCCTCGTCAATCCCCAGGTGTTCGCCCCTCTCATGCAACTGTTGCTGCTGCTGCTTTCGACCCTGCAAGCACCAGCAGCGAAGGTCCTATTAACGTCCGCACTGCCAGCACCAGCACCAGCACCAAAGATACGACAAGTCTTCGCGCCACCAGCACCAGCACCAGCAGCAGCACCAGCAGCACCACCAGCAGCAGCACGGGCAGCGGAGGCAGCACGGATCCGCCCATCCGCATCACCATAGGCACGGGGTTCCCCCCCCCCCCCGCTGGTGGTGGGGCGGGGGGTCAGGCGGCTCATCAAAGAAGTCTACAGGCGGGTCTTCCCGCGGGCTCATGAAGCCGTACAGCGGCCGAGGTGAGTGTGGTAGGGTGTGGGGTGGTTGTTCAGTTCAACCCCTTTTAGTGGTGGTGGGGCGGCGGCGGGTCGGGCGGCCCGTCAAAGAAGTCTACAGGCGGGTCTTCTCGCGGGCTCATGAAGCCGTACAGCGGCCGAGGTGGGTGGGAATTGGGGTGGCGAGCGGCTGAGCGGCTCATCTCAAGGTGATGTCGCAGCCTCTCAAGGTGATGTCGCAGCCTCTCAAGGTGATGTCGCAGCCTCTCAAGGTGATGTCGCAGCCTCTCAAGGTGATGTCGCAGCCTCTCAAGGTGATGTCGCAGCCTCTCAAGGTGATGTCGCAGCCTCTCAAGGTGATGTCGCAGCCTCTCAAGGTGATGTCGCAGCCTCTCAAGGTGATGTCGCAGCCTCTCAAGGTGATGTCGCAGCCTCTCAAGGTGATGTCGCAGCCTCTCAAGGTGATGTCGCAGCCTCTCAAGGTGATGTCGCAGCCTCTCAAGGTGATGTCGCAGCCTCTCAAGGTGATGTCGCAGCCTCTCAAGGTGATGTCGCAGCCTCTCAAGGTGATGTCGCAGCCTCTCAAGGTGATGTCGCAGCCTCTCAAGGTGATGTCGCAGCCTCTCAAGGTGATGTCGCAGCCTCTCAAGGTGATGTCGCAGCCTCTCAAGGTGATGTCGCAGCCTCTCAAGGTGATGTCGCAGCCTCTCAAGGTGATGTCGCAGCCTCTCAAGGTGATGTCGCAGCCTCTCAAGGTGATGTCGCAGCCTCTCAAGGTGATGTCGCAGCCTCTCAAGGTGATGTCGCAGCCTCTCAAGGTGATGTCGCAGCCTCTCAAGGTGATGTCGCAGCCTCTCAAGGTGATGTCGCAGCCTCTCAAGGTGATGTCGCAGCCTCTCAAGGTGATGTCGCAGCCTCTCAAGGTGATGTCGCAGCCTCTCAAGGTGATGTCGCAGCCTCTCAAGGTGATGTCGCAGCCTCTCAAGGTGATGTCGCAGCCTCTCAAGGTGATGTCGCAGCCTCTCAAGGTGATGTCGCAGCCTCTCAAGGTGATGTCGCAGCCTCTCAAGGGGCACCTCATCTTGCTTGCACAACGCCTTCTCATTCCCCTCCCTTTACCGCCCCGCCCTCCCTCCCCCTCACCAGTCCCCAGCTACGCGCTCAAGCCCATCGCCTACAAGTCTGGTCCCATGATGTCTCAGCCCCTTGAGGTGTAGCTCATCTGGCACGGCACGTGCTGTGCTGCCCTGATTCCTTTTCCCTTCCCCCTCCCTTACCCTCCCCTACTTTCTCTCTGCCAGTCCCCAGCTACGCGCCCAAGCCCGTCGCCTACAAGAGTGGCCATGTCATGTCCCAGCCCTTAGAAGTCTACCTTATCTGGCACGGCACGTGCTGCTCCCCTCATTTCCCCTCCTTTCCCTTCCGCCCCTCCCCTGCTCCGGCCCCTGCCCGTCCCCTTCCCCCACCAGTTCCCAGCTACGCGCCCAAGACCGTCTCATACAAAAGCGGTCCTCTCATGTCTCAACCACAAGAGGTGTACGGCACGTGGCCGGCGGCGCGGAAGGCACTCGTGCAGAAGTTTGTCGACTCCATTTCTGACGACACGCCCCCTCGTTCCCCCCTCCTTTCCCATCTCCTTTCCCCCTCCCCCTGCTTCCCCCACCCTTCCCCCGGTTCCTCTCCCGCCCTCTCCCTGCCCTCTGCCAGTCCCCAGCTACGCACCCAAGACTATTTCATATAAAAGCGGGCCCGTCATGTCGCAGCCCCTAGAGGTGTACCTCATCTGGCACGGCATGTGCTGCTCTCCCCATGCCCCCTTTCCTCCCCCCACCCCCTGCCAGTCCCCAGCTACGCGCCCAAGACCGTCTCATATAAAAGCGGTCCCGTCATATCCCAACCTCTCGAGGTCTATCTCATCTGGCACGGCACGTGCTGCTATCCTCATTCCCCGTCCCTTTTCTCCCCTGCATGCAGTCCCCAACTACGCGCGCAAGACTAATTTCCTACAAGTCCGGGCCTGTAATGTCTCAACCTCTCGAAGTCTTTCTCACCTGGCACGGCACGTGCTGCTCGCCTCGTTTCCCCTCCCTTCCCTCCCCTCCATTGCAGTCCCCAGCTACGCACCCAAGACTATTTCATACAAGTCCGGTCCCGTGATGTCCCAACCTCTCGAAGTCTACCTCATCTGGCACGGCACGTGGCCCGCCGCTCAGAAGACGCCCGTGCAGAAGTTTGTCGACTCCATATCCGACACCACGCTCGCCAACAAGCCCGGCAGCGTCAGCGACTGGTGGAACATCAACCGCCTCTACAAGGCCGGCGCCACCTATGTCACCTCGACTGTTTCTCGTAGTGTGAGTAACCTCCCCTCCCCTCCCTACCTAGGAAGGGATTCTCCTTGTTTTCCTCTCCCAAAGCGTGCAATTCTCCCTGTTGTTTCCCTGGTCGATTTGACTGGGCAAGCAGCACGCTCGCTCGCCAACAAGCCCGGCAGCGTCAGCGACTGGTGGAACATCAACCGCCTCTACAAGGCCGGCGCCACCTACGTCACCGCGACTGTTTCTCGCAGCGTACGTTGCTCTCCTGTTTCCCGCAGTGTACGTTGCTTCCCTCTTAGAGCGGTGGGTGGGAGCGGGAAGGGCAGGAAGGGATTGGTGGAACATCAACCGCCTCTACAAGGCCGGCGCCACCTACGTCACGCCCACCGTCTCCCGCAGCGTATGTAACCTCCCCTTCCCTCCTAGGGTCCCCCGTAGTGTATGTAGGGTTCCCTGTGTGTGTAACCTCCCCTTCCCCCCCCCCCACCCCTCCCACCCCCTTCCCTCCCCACTACCTTCATCCCTATCCCCTTGTTCCCCATCAGAGCACGGAGATTGACATTGCAGCTGCGTCATCAGCCTCAGGGCAAACTGCTCTGACAAAGGCCGACCTGCTCGCCCTCATCAACTCCAGATCCTCTCGGGATCATCAGTACCATCATCGCTCTCCTCCCTTCCCTCCTGCCTTCTCTCTTCCGTTCCCCATCCCCTTGTTCCCCATCAGAGCACGGAGATTGACATTGCAGCTGCATCGTCAGCCTCAGGGCAAACCCCGTTGACAAAAGCCGATCTGCTCGCGCTCATCAACTTCCAGATCCTCTCGGGGTCGCTCCCGCGAATCAGCAGTGCCGTCTACGTCATCTTCACATCTGCTGACGTGGATGTGGATGGATTTGGGTCCGAGTTTTGCGCCTTCCACAGCGTCAGCGGCAGCATCAAGTGGGCGTGGGTTGGCATGCCCGAGAAGGTGAGTGGTCGGTGTGTGTGAGACGGCGGGCGCTTTTTGCACCTGAGCGTGTGCGTGCACTCACTCTGTATACTTGCTACAAAACTGGAACAACCGATTTCTGTGCGCTCCACAGCGTCAGCGGCAGCATCAAGTGGGCGTGGGTTGGCATGCCCGAGAGAGTGAGTCACTTTCTTTATCCGAATGGGTGGGTGCGTTCACTCTATATGCTTGCTGCACATTCACAGCGCAACAGCCGTCATCTTCACGTCTGCTGACGTGGATGTGGATGGGTTTGGGTCCGAATTCTGTGCGTTCCACAGCGTCAGCGGCAGCATCAAGTGGGCGTGGGTCGGCATGCCTGAGAGGTGAGTGCTCGGTGTGTCAGGGTGAGTTCTCGGTGTGTCAGGGTGAGTGCTTGGTGCGTTGGGAGAGGGTGATTATCTGGTGTGTCTGAGACAGGGTGAGTGCTTGTTACATGTTATTGTGTGAGTGCGTTCACCAGTTGTGCTTGCATCACACTCCCAACAACAGACTCCTGTGTAGCTTCCCATGTGACCTACAACACCTTTTCTAACTCATCCCCCTTCCTTTTCTTCTACCCCTCCTCATCCCCACTCCCTGTCTTGCATCTCTTGCTAAGTGCACGCACACATGCAGCAGCAGGCAGATCCCAACAGATGCAACGGCCAACAGATGTTTTCCAGCAATCATCTCCTTCTCATCTTTCTTGCCCTTCCCCCCTCCTCATTTTTCCTCCCTGTCTTGCAGTATCTCGCCAAGTGTGCGCATGCAGCGGCAGCAGGCCTCGAGTACCCCAACGGTGACAGAATTCTCGACGGGCTGATTTCCAACTTTGCCCACGTGCTTTCCGAGGCTGCGGTCAACCCGAACCTAAACAGCTGGTCCGATGATAACGGAAACGAAAACATGGATTTGTGCTCTGGCATCTGGGGTACAGAATACCTCTCTGATGACAGCCCCGCTGTACAGTACAACGCCGTGGGTGTAGACGATTATAGGTTCTTTCTTCCTACAAACTTAAACCCGAGCACGGGGTTTTGCATGAATGGGCTGTCGGTGCTGCCCGGGGCTTGTGGAAAGGATTTGTTTAACTACCCGTGTGACACGGGTGGGATATAGAGAGGCGTTAGCAATGGTGGGGTGATTCAGTACAATGGGTTGCTTTGCTGGATGCTATACTTGCGTACTAACATTTATTTAGCATAGGATGCGCTCTTCGGATAGATCATCTTTTGATTAATGTATTATATAAACTGCATGCAGTGTTGGTCAGTAGGGTTACAACTGTATTCCTCTTGTTGGGCTGAGATAGCCCCTTAGGATCTTTGCAGAGGAGAACTCTGGGTAGGACAATTGTAATAGCGGAAGCTTTTAGTGAAGAGATTGTGAACCACCTTGCGCTAGTATGTGAGGGCAAAGTAGATTGATTATAACAAGAAAGTACAAGATTATATAGTAATGTAGGGAATATCAAAGGATACAGTTATAACTACTTTTACTGTTGCTGTTGCGGTTCGATACAGTACGACTCGGGCAACTGCTCTGTAACGAGTCAGTTGTGTGTCCTTAACTGTCGCGCTGTACTTGTCAGGTCAAAGGTCGCTTGACCTTTGACTTTCGCCAGGGTTCTCGCTAGGTTTAGGGCCTGTCTGACAGTACCGTCAAAAAAATTTTCCCCGTCTTAGGCACTGACGACGAAACTGACGTGGTTTGCCTTACAAGCTGAATTATTTTTCAAGTCTGATAAACTAGACGAATTTAAAAGCCAAGTTAAAAGTCAGCCTACTGTAATCCTACCTGCAATTCTACTCATACTATCAAACAACCTACGCAGTAGCTAAGGACCTAGTCAGAGTCACTAGAGCCGCACTCTTCATTGCTATCACTACCATCCTCACTACCCACGGACTCTGGGACCGTGGCCCGTTCTTTCCTGCTAAGACACGGATACTCAGCATCCATCCTTGCTGCTTCTGCTGCCAGGGCCGCTTCTCGAGCAGCTGCTTCTGCTGCTGCCAGTGCAGCTGCTGCTGCTGCAGCTGCGGCCAATCTCTTCTTCGCACGCTTGCTCTGTCTCTCCCCGGACGCCATCAGCACATCATTAGCAGGCCTTCGCTTCTTGGAAGCATTCCACCTCCTCAGCAACTCGGGCCACTCCATGTCATAGTTTAGGAGCGACACAGCCATCAGCTCTCCCAGCTTCGCGTCACACAGGTTCCCGCGAAGCCAGCTTTTGATGATGTTCTGCCGTAAAAAGCCGCGCTCGCACTCGACGGTACTGAGCGTCAGCACGGCGACAGCCATCCACAGGTGGACGAGGTTCGGGTAGCATGTCGCCCAGTCGGGGGAGGACAGCATGAGTTTCAGGCTGTCCGCAAACCCGACATCCTCTTGGTGCGTGGCCAGGATTGTAGAGAAGGTGACGAGCTCCCGCTGCGCTCTCGCCCAGTTGATGCCTGCGGTTGGGGTGCGCATGGGAACATTGGTATTGGTGATGTGAAAGGGTTTAAATTTGCACGTGGAAACAACGCTAAACATACAGCACATTCCCGGCATTTAACGCACCTGGTATAGTATCAGGGTCTTCTGGCTTCCGCTTGAACATGTTGCGCAGAGACTGGAGCCATTAGCCTAGCCGTCGCTCACGCTTTGCCTAGTTCTTGGGATAGGATCCCTGCTTGAACAGCTTCGCCCCGTCGAGGTGTGACAGATCCTTGAGGCGGTAGTCGAGCCGACCGACCAGGGTCGTGATGAACTCGCGCGCCAGCCCCAAACATGCTTGGTGGTCCACACCACTCGTCTGCCCCTTGATTTTCTCCTCGTGCAGTCGGTATCGATGGCTGACCGATGTGCCGTCGGAAGCAGTGGCAGCAACGAGGACCTCGCGGAACTCCCCTGATGCGTGCTTGTCGAGGAACGGGCCCAACGCGTCTCCACCCTGGCCAAACATCGCGTCGTCGCAGTCGAGGTAGCGTGTGCGCAGCAGTAAGGTTGTGTTGTGCACCATTGGCAGCACATGAGTTGCCTCGACCTGTAAACGGGGTTGCACAAGCACGACGTTTAGCAAATGGTTGTAAATGAAGTAAACGGCCACGGGTAACTCGTGAATCTGCTTACCTGACGCCGCTGAAACTTCAAGCTGAGAAGGTTGAGCTCCTTCAAGACGTCAGAAAGGAAGAACAGCAGAAAATGGAACTTGTAGCTCGTTACGACTTGATACATCTTCTTGTTAGTCTCGTGCAATACCATGACTGCTGCAGGAAACACCTTCACCAGGCGCTGGATGGCGTCACCACGAGACAGCCATCGGACGTCCTTGATGCCTTGGACTTCAAGATGGGTCTCGCAGATGACCTCCTGAAGCTCTTGAAATCTGGCGTGGTTAACAGAGGAACGACCAAGGTTCTCAGCCACGGCTCGGACCACCTTGTCCACGATGTTGAAGTCAGGATGCTTGGCGGCAGCATCTTTGGCCGCCAAGGCCTCCCTGCAAGACAGCAGAAAGTAATATTAGCACGGGTATATTGAAAAATAATAGGTAGTAAACGCGAAACAACAACTCTTACCTGTGCGCGATGCAGTGGGACGACACAAGATGAGGAACCTTGCCTTTCAGGCGCGCGGTGACTCCGTTGTGCTGTCCAAGCATGACAGAAGCACCATCAGTGCTCATACCGGTGAGGCGCATGAGGTCGATGCCGGTGCTCTCCAGATGCGTCAGGAGTACTGTAGTGAGTGACGCGGCGTCACACTGCTCCACACTGAGCAACGCAAAGAACTCAGTGACGGGAGCGTTGTCACGCATGAACGTCAAATAGACGATCATGTGTTTCCCCCGCCGTCGGTCGGTGCTTTCGTCCAACTGGATGCCAAGGTACGGACCAGTTGGCGGATGTGCTTCATCTGGCGGGACTTCAGGTAGCACACCATGGTCTCGACCAGTTGTGCAAAGCCGTACCTGAGACACGCGGGGTTAAAACTCGTTAGTGTTGTAAACTCACGGACCATAAAGCAATGAATTAAAACGGGACACTTACTCGCTGTAGTACGTCCCGCTCTCCTTCAGGGGCAGATCCGGAGTCCCTTGCTCTGCCATGAACTGAACCAAAGCCACGAATAGCACAATGGGAGCGTCAGACTTGCAAATGAACAGCACAATAGCCATCAAGCGAGCAATACGCTTGACATCAGCGTCCCCACGGTGGAAGTCAGCAATGGACTTCTGCACTTTCTTCACGCCGTTGCGCTCCTCCTTCCTCGAGACCGCGGCCTCGTGTTTCAGACTGTGGTGATGCTTGCGCATCGTCTGCTTCTGGATGTCGATGCCGCCATCGCCGTTGCGCCCGTATTTGTAGTTCGGGTCACCGAAGACCATGCAGATGCTGCAGCGCATGCAGGGGCGGCCGGCCTTGTTTTCGGAGATGAGGAGCCAAGGAAAATACCGCTGCCACTGCTGCTTGCACTTCAACTGAAGCTCCTCAACCGACAGTTGCTTGCCCTTCGAGTCTTCGAAGTCTTCATTCGCGGGTTCGGGTTCTGGTTCCGTGGGTCGCAGAAGAACTGACGGTGCTGGCTGAGTCGGACCGCCCGGTCGGCCGACGGTGAGAACCCGCTGCCTATACCGCTTCTTCAGTGATCTGTCAGGCAAGACTGGGTTAGCACTGCGAGAGGTGGTAGCGACCGAAACTGGAGGGATGCTCTTATTTGCACCGTTGTCAGGCATCGGAGTGGATAATAGCGTAGTTGGGGTAGTGGTTGCTGGCACGTGTTGATCGCCATTTTCCGAGCTGGGCAAAGGTACCGCACCAGAGGTCGACGCAATCGGAGGGGCAGCAGAAGCGATCTGCTTGCCCCGCGTTAGGAAGTCTAGGGCGGAAAGCACGGGCTCCCCATCGCACGGTCCGCCGGCGGGGACGGCCATAGTCTAAACGCTGGGAAGCGTCACGCTGGGAAATCAGACGCTGGGAGGGATAGGATCCATGCTCGGCTGGGTGAGAGGTGAGGACGAGCAGGAGAAACAGGCTTGTTTTCAAGCCATACCCAGCTGCATGAAACCCATCACCGTCCACTGCACTCGGAACCAAAAGGCGGTGCGCGTTGGGAGAGGGGGGCACTACGACCACAGTGCTGTGTTGCGTGACGTCTAGGAAATGTAAATGCGCTGGCACAACGGGACAGCGCGTTGCCATGGCTGTGGCTGGCGTCGGCACCGACAGCCAGCCAAACGAAAACGCCTGGCAGCATATGCCGCAGTTACATGCCAGCGATGCTGCTACAAGGCAGTTACAAGGCTGTATAAGACACGCGTATTGAATGCGTGTGCAGTTACAGGGCAGCAAATGGCTGTACCTGTGGTGGTCCTATCCTCTGGTCCACTGGGCCTATGGCCTAGTGGGTCAAACTGTCGGTTTCAGACGAAACCGAACTCGATATCTGTGGAGTCAGATTAAAATTCTACACGTCTGGAAAAATCATACGAACCGAAAAGTCAAATCTTGCTGATCATATGAGAACAAACACAAACCTTAGGATTAAGATGAATACATAAAAACAAGTCTTAAACGCAGACCATCAGACCAAATTGGTCTGATAACGAGAACCCTGACTTTCGCGTAACCTCCAGCAACCTCTCAACCTCCGAGGGTTGACTCGCGGGTGCTTCGGTATGATTCGTCTCGCTTCTGGTGCGGTGTTTCGACACGACTGAAGCGCTTAAGTTTCACTGTTTCCAACACTCCCCTTCGCTTCTGGAGTGTCGCTGCTGATGACGTGGCCCTGTCCAGTCAGCAGCATGCAGTACTCGAACTTCTGCTTTCCGAGCTTCTTGGTCAAATAGTCGGCTGCCATCTCGGACGTGGGGCAGTATGACAGCTGAAGTCTCCCCTTCTCGATCTCGTCTTTCACGAAGAAGTAGCGCAGGGCAATGTGTTTCGTCCTGTTCGCGAAGCCGTTTTTGTTGGCGATGCGAATTGCTGATTGATTGTCGCAGAACAGGGTGAAGCTGGGTAACTCAGCCAACTTTGCTTCTTCCAGCAGTTCGCGAAGATAAAGGCCTTCTTTGGTGGCTGAGCAGAGTGCGATGTATTCTGCTTCAGCTGAAGATAGCGCGATTAACTCCTGCTTGCTCGACTGCCAGGAGATAGGACCGATAGGTTCGAGGCGGTAAACGTAGCCGGTGCGTGAGCGCCTGTTGTCGGAGTCGCCGGCGTGATCGGCGTCGACGTAGCCGATTAGTTTGGTCGGTGTAGTTGCGTTCTTGTGGTAGGTTAGGCCGATCGTCGGGGTGCTGATGAAGTAGTGAAGAGCGCGGTCGAGCTCCGCCAGGTGTTCTGTTTCGGGCTTCTTGAGGTAGGTAGCGAGCTGACTTGCGGAGTATGAGAGGTCGGGACGGCAAGTGACGGCTGCGAAGAGGAGGCATCCGAGCTTCCTCTGATAGTCGCGTATGCCGGCGGGTTTGAGTAGAGTGGATCGTCCCTTCTCGGTTCCTGTCGTGTAGCGGTATGGCGTGGAGATGGCGGTTGGTGTGAGAGCGAAGCGTTTGGCGATAGTGTCGGCGTATTTCTCGGCGCTGAGTTAGATTGCGTCTTCTTCTTCTCGGATGTTGAGGCCGAGGTACTGTGTGACGGTAGACGAGACCGTGAGCGTGAGGTCTTTCTGTAGCTCCCCTTCGAACCAGGTTGCGATGCCGTCGGTTGACCCGATGTAGAGGAGATCGTCCACGTAGACGATTAACAGGACGTAGTCGTCGTTCTTCGTGAGTCGATACATGCCTTGGTCGTGCGGGAGTTGCTTGAAGCCGATGCGGATGAGACGAGCGTGCAGGTATTGCTGCCATAGTCGCGGGGCCTGTTTGATTCCGTAAAGCGACTTGAGCAGCTCGCAGACGTGCGTGGAGTCTGTGTTGGACCCGTGCGGTAGCTCCACAAAAATCTCTGCGTCAACAGGTGCGTAGAGAAACGCGTTTGCGACGTCGATTTGCCGCAGCTTCTTTTTCTTCATGGCAGCGATTGCGAGGAGAATTCGGAGTGAGGTGTGGCGGCTGACCGGAGCGAAGGTTTCGGTGAAGTCACGTCCGTGCTCCTGGTCGAAGCCGCGTACGACCCAGCGTGCTTTGAACTTGTCGATGGTGCCGTCAGCTTTCGTCTTCACACGGAAGACCCATTTTCCGGTGAGTATGGTCTTGTTTCGTGCTACGCCGATAGGAACGACCTTCCAGGTGTTGCGTTCCTCTAATGCCTTTCAGTTCCTTATCCATGGCTTCGCGCCATTTTTCCTTATGCTCCCCCCCCAGAGCCTGCTGAACCGTCGCAGGCTCCTTAGGAATGTCGGCGCCGTGGACTGCGGTGACGAGTCCAAGGATTTGGAGTCCACTCTGTGTGTAGCGGGGGAGTGTGGTGTCCTCGGGATAAACTGCTTCGTCTCCAGCTTCTGGATCAGGTGCGAAATTGGGCCCTACACGTTCTGCTTCGTTGGTGTTGACTTGTTCGGGTGTAACGTAACCTTCGTCAGCGAGATTGTAGAAGACTTCGGCGTTGACGCTTTCGCGAGGGTTGTCGTCGTCCATTGGTACGTCTACCCAGCAGTACGGGAGTGGTCCGGCTTCTTCCGAGGCTCCGTCCACGTTCTGCTCGTCCCAGTCAGCTTCGTCTTCTGCCGAGGCGAAGGCTCGGGTTCCAGTGAATCCGCCCGAGGGATCAGGTCTGTTTGCTCTTACGTAGGCGAGGTGAACGTCGAGGGTGAGGTTCTCGTAGAAGAGGACGTCACGTGCTGCGACTGTTTCTTTACTGTTGATGTCGAAGATTTTCCATGCGTTGTGGTGTTTTTCGATGCCCAGGTGTACTCCCCACTGTGCTCGTTGGGAGAATCGACCGGCGCGTGCAGATGGTGGTCGGTACTGTACCATGCATCCGAAGACCCGTAACATTTTTGTGTTGCCCAATTTTTTTGTCCACAGCAGATGCGGTGATGCGTTGTTCGGAAGCGATGATGACGAGAGCAAGTTGTGCA